CGGCTGTGGAGCTGTCGTCGTGGAGGATGATTGTGCCGCCTCGTCTCTTCTCACCTCGACCTGCTTCGTCCACTCTGTCACCTCCCTCCGCCCCCCCTGTCCATCTGCGGCAGCTGGCATCTGTCTGGTCTCGTCCCTGTTGCGGAAAAAAGGATGCAGGCGGCGCCGGTGATACGGAATCGACACACCTGTTCCCTTCTTCCTCGCCCGTGACAGCCTCGCAGTTGCCGTCCTGGTGTCGTTGACGTCGCTCGTCTTGGCCCGTATAGGCCTCCCATGCTGCTCCTCGTAAGCTCTCATGGAATCATGACAAGTGCCATCGACGTTGCCGATCGATCGCGCCCCCGTGGGCACATCTGCCGGTCCATATGCTGATGTCTGTCCGATATCGCCCACCCTCTGTTCCATGCCCACACCGTCGTAGAAAGACCTCGTAGGCAATGCGCTCGGCGCGGCCAGCCCGTGGGCGGCAGGATCAGCGGGAGAGGGGCGTGAGGGTGGTGGACACATAATGTCACGCATCCCCGTCAAATGCGGTCGAGGCTCATCTGTGTGCTCGTCTCCAACGTCATGTATGTTGGGCCTGACAATGCTGGGGTGTGTGGTCGATGACCCTCTGCGCTTGATGCCCCCCCTGAAGGACCGTCCACCATCTACGCTCCCTGGCTGTGCTGTATCCTCGCTCACGCCCTCGCCTCCGTCCGAGCGGATAACTCCGAGAGGCCTCGCCTCTAAAGTCTCCACTGGCCCTCGATGTGGCTCTTGCTGCGGGCCCTTCTCTGGTGGATGGACTAATGACACGCCGTCCGATAACAGCTGCGAACCATGATCCCCCTGCACCAAAAAATCTCCAGACGCTGCCTCTAGTGAACCTTTCAGACTACGTTGAGCTGCGACGTGCGGTCCACCACGACGGTTCCGTGCTACCTCCTCCGCCAACCCCTGCTCCACCGCCCACGGTGCACCGACATGAAAAATGGCGGGAGTGCCGGACTCTGGAGGATGCAGTATCGTGTCSCCGCCGAACTCGTCGAACCCTCTGTCACGACGCGCGTCATCTCGTCTAGCAGGCTCCGGTGGTGCCACAACCGGCAAAGTGGGAGATATCAGTAGCGATATATCGGGYAGAGATGCCAAGGCGGAATCCATGGTGAATAGCTCGTCGGTGGGCGGAAGACTGTCGGGCRGGCAGTCGAGGCCGACGTGGTGGTCCGTCGGAGGACGTTCGTCCTCCCCGTCYTTTCCACAAGTGGGAGTGGGTGCAACCTCTCCCTCCTCTAGACCCCCGTCACTCGTGTGAGGAGGCGGCTCACATCGTGCCTCGCCGTCCTCCAAACCCGCTCTTGTGGAGTGGACTGGGGTGCCTGCTGGAGTGCACCGAGTCTGCGCCTGGCGGAGTGGACCGGGTCCTCCGAACTCCGTCTCCTCCTCTGTGCTAACAACCGGCGCTGGCGACCGGATATGAGTGATCCTGAACCCTGTATCCTCCTCCGTCACTATCACATCAGTGTTCGAGGCTAGCTTCTCTGCATGAACCGGGTCGCGCTGCGTCTCGTTGGAAGGATCTCCCATCTCGTCCTCTGACACGGCAACCGGGTCCTGCCGCATGTCACGTGCCCCCGTGTCGATCGCAATGTGGACACGACGTCTGCGTACACAAGACGCAATACTGTCATCCCGCCTACCCCCGTGTCTCAACCGCTTCAAAACGTAGCGACCACGGAGCATAAAATCGTCGTCCACATGCTCGTCAACCCTATCGCCACGGCACCCGCTCCGTCCACCATCATGCCCCCCCCTCACCGCC